TTTCTGTTACATTGCGCAGACCTCATTAGTTTTACACTCAAATCTGGTCATATTAATTTTCTGATTTGCATAATTAGTTTTCAGCTAAGTAATTTCGAATTATATTTAATGTGTCTCCAATACTCTCAGCACATGGGAGTTCTTTCTAAGCTTTCTTTGATTGATGAAACTTGGTGCATAGATGCCTGGGCCAATGCGCAGATTTGATTAGGTTTTGATAAAAATCCATGCATATTAATTACCTAATTTGCACAATGATTAATCAATTTTCAGCTTTTCCACTGATATTTCATATACTAATCATCACATTTCAATAAAACTTGGTACATAGACGTTATAGGACACTGCACAAACCTGATAGTTTTTAGGGTAATATCAAAAAATATTAATTACCTAATTTGCATAATTAATTAATTTTCAGCTTTTGATATTTCATGTAGTAATCATCACATTTCAATGTAACTTGATACATAGATATCATAGGACATTGCACAGACCTGATAGTTTTTAGGGTAATATCAGTAGATATTATTTGCATAATTAATTAAATTTCAGCTTTTGGTATTTCAAGTAGTATTCATCACATTTCAATGAAACTTGGTACATAGATGTCATAGGACACTGCACAGACCTGATAGTTTTTAGGGTAATAGAGTACATATTAGTTGCCTAATTTGCATAATTAATTAATTTTCAGCTTTTGATATTTCGAGTAGTAATCATCACATTTCAATGAAATTTGGTACATGGATGTCATAGGACACTGCACAGACCTGATAGTTTTTAGGGTAATATAATCAGTACATATTAATTACCTAATTTGCATAATTAATTTCAATTAATCACATTTCAATGACACTTGGTACATAGATCTTCTAGGACTATGCATAGACCTGATTAGTTTTAATTGGATATTAATTACCTAATTTGCATAATGTTCCACTGATATATAAAGAACCACAAATTGGATTTTAATGAAACTTTTAAAGAGAACTATGCAGAGACCCAATTAGTTTTTGGTAAATATTTATGCCTATTAATCACCTTATTAACATAATTAATTAACACTGATATCTCAATTACTGATCATCACATTTGAATAAAATTTGGTACATAAATTCCCTAGGACAATAGACAAGCCTGATTAATTTTGGGTTAAAATTTGTTCATATTAATTCTCTAATTAGTATAATAATTCATAATTGTTTTGTTCTGTTCTGTTCATAAATAAATTAGTTACCTGATTCACATAATTAGTTTTCAGCTTTTCCATCAATATCTCGCGTACAAGTAATTTTGAATTAATTTTTAATGTGTCTTCAAATACTCTCAGCACACAGGAGTTCTTTCTAAGCTTTCTTTGATATTTTTCAGATCCAATTTAAAATAATAACTCTCTCTATTTAATTAAGCGCAACAATTCCAACATATGAAGATCAAAGGCGCTGATACAATAAACAATCAGTCAAATATTAAAAGCACATTTAAATAAGTGCGTTTTCAGTCTGGATTTAAAAATGTCTACTGAAGGACTAGAACGAACAGACAGAGGTAATTCATTAAAAAGTTTAGGACCTCAATTTTCAAAAGCACGGTCTTTGTATAACACCTTGGACTTTTTACTACACATCTGACGAGTTTTAATAAGAAACTTCGATTCAGATCTTAAACTACGACTCGGTACATAAAATTCGATTAATTCACATAGATAATTTGGGGCAAAACCATACAAAGATTTATACACTAGTAAAAGTAATTTGAAATTGATTCTTTGTACAACTGGTAACCAATGAAGTTTAATAAAAATGTCTGTAATGTGGTCATATTTTCGAGCACGAGTGACAAGGCGGGCTGCTGCATTTTGTACACGAATAAGAGGTTTTATCTTAGTTACAGGGAGACCAGACAATAATGAATTACAGCTGTCTAAGCGAGAAGATATGAAAGCATGTACCAACTTTTCAGTATCAGATTGGGATAATGATTTACGAATACGATTAATATTTCTTAGATGGGAATATCCAGATCTACAAATAGTAGAAATGTGTGTTTCCATAGATAGCTGCGAATCAAACAAGACACCTAAGTTTCTAGCACTTGACGAAGCACTAACCAATTCTTCACCAATTGCGATACTAGACAAAGGACACGAGTCTTGTGAGAATCTCCGAGACGATATGCACACAAATTCAGTTTTCGA